ATTAAATATAATATTTACCTCGTGCGATTTCTTCTCTTATTTTAGTTATTTCGAGCTCCAAAATGTTCACTTTTTGAAATTTTGTATGTTTTTCGGCCAAGTTTACTTGTATATTTTTCATCGTCCCTGATAGAAATTCATTTGCTTGATCAACATGTTTTTGTTTATCGTGAGTGATCTGGTTCGTTTCAACTTTATATGAATGTAGCCTTAAGAGAAAATTGTTAAACTAGAAAGTAGTGTCATAAAAATCAAATCAAATGTATTCGATAAAAATTCTTACTTTTCTCGAATACAGTTTGCACACCAAAATTTACGATGAAAATTGTGACAAATTTTACATTCCATCCTTTAGGGAATAAATGCAGAAATTGTTTTAGCCCAGAAAGATTTGATTTTTCTCAGGAATTTATAAAAATTACGTAATTCATTGTGTTATTAAAATTTAAGGCCAATCATAACGTGAGAAATTAAAACCTTCTAATTGCTTCCAATACGTACAGTATTCGATTTTAAATTAATTTGAAGTGACACAGATTTATCATTACGTATAATTTTGTTTCGCAGTTAAAACATTACCGTTACCATTACCGTTCAAAATGCATGGATAGGATTTGGATTTGGGTTTGTTCATACTGTAAATAAAGATTAGATTATCGTTTTCTTCATCTTAAGAATCAAGTTTTAATGCATTTATGGGAAACATTCTCATCGTGGATTTTGTACTTTGCTAAATTAGATTTATTTATTTATTTTTTTTTTCTTTTTGAATCGTTTTTGATGCATTACCGATAGAATGAAAATATATTATTTGTGTATTGTTTCTACAGAGTGCGTCAAAAACGGTAATATCTTTGTTTTTTCGGTTTAATTTCATTATTTGTCATTCTTAGTTACAAAATTATAAATTGTTCACAATCGTAATTATACTTTGCATTTTTCGTCACATGTAATAATTAGTTTGATGTTATTGTACGTAGCAACGATAAATTCATAAAGACACTTGATTTTCATTAATCTTGTCTCCTGAGGGTCTGTAAAACTACTGATTTTAATGTTTTTAGCAAAATGATCTTAAATGTTTTCAGCAAAATGCTCTTAAATGTTTTCCGCAATAATGCTAATTAATGCAGATTAATGCAAATTAATGCCAAGATTGCGCAGAAAATCCAACTTTTTATTTATCAAAGGGGAGCGTAAAATATGAAATATGGGGATGCCCACAGCAAAAGCAGGGGATGGGACTATATTTTATATAGTCCCATCCCCTGCTTTTGCTGTGGGCATCCCCATATTAGGGTTAAGTTAGGTTTTAGGTAATTATATATTGACTTCCCAGACATTTTTGCTTAACCTACCCAAGGTTGCCATTTTTTGTATTTTTTTAGGTTTTTGCTTCGCCAAAATTTTAATCTCCGCTTTAGACGACCTTATTTAGAGAATTATGATTACATACCCCAAATTTATTATTTATACTCCCTGCAGATTTAAAGCAACTACCAGGC